TATTAGTAAACCAAAAAATAGTATTAATTAGTAATTATTAATTTATCGAAAAATGCTTTTTTCATGTGATATTAATTATTAATTTATCGGTAAGCAAAAAATATAGTATTATTTCGCTTTTTGCATGTAATAGTAATTATTAATTTATTAGTAAACCAAAAAAATAATATTAATTTAGTTTTAATTAATATATGGAAGGATTAGACTTTTTATGCCACTTGTCGTTTTGCATGTAACAATAGTTATTAATTTATTAGTAAACCAAAAAATAGTATTAATTCGTAATTATTGGTTTATCGAAAATTCTTTTTGCATGTGATAGTAATTATTAGTTTATTGGTTAATCAAAATATAATATTAATTTGTAATTTTTATTATAGAGCATATATAATAAAATGGGGGGAGGTGTGGGGGATCCAATTTTTTTTAAAGAGACCACATGCCGCCTTTGGGTCTTGGCACCCGCCTAGGCGGCTCAGAGCCCAAACCGCCTAGGTGGCCCGCCTATGCCTTTTTGAACTTTGCAACTTCGCAACTGAAGAAGTGTGAAACTAATCTGGATGTATTCAGGGAGTGTACTTTCTGAGACCACTTGCATCTCAGAATTTTTATCGAGTTAGGGGGGTTTAACACTTTGAAGGAAGTGAGACCAGCTTATGCCTCTAGGTTCTTTGTTTCTGTTGCAATTTTTGTAATATTTGATTCATAAGTCTCTCTCCCTATTGTTACGAACTATGACCCAAAACCTCTGGGTTTTACTGGAATGAGAAGTATTCTTGTAAGCTCTGAACCCAAACCTAAACCTTAGGGTTTAACTGGAATTAGGAGTATTTCTGATATAGAGAATTGACTCCGAGTAAGGGGGGAATACCAAAATTTGTCACATGGAAGTCAGAGAAACCAATAAAAACAACCATGGAATGAACCTTTGTTGTTGACAATGGCTCCGTCTACAATGGAAAATATGGATAACACCACCCAAAAATGGGTACAATGATATCTAGGGTTTTGAATCTTAGCCTCAACCAAAGCTCTCCCTCACTACTTTCTCTCTTTACAAATGGGGGTTTACACTCTCATTCAAAATAATCCTATTATGGACAAAAATACCCACTATCAAGAGGAAAATCCCATTTGGGGAGTTTTCTTTTGTGGCGGTTGTTTGGGTTTGGGGGGGGGGGGGAGTTGTTTTGGATCATTAGCCCAACAATCTCCACCTTGATCATACCTTTACCTTGCTACCACATCCGATTATTCCTTTGCTCTAATTTCTATGGAACTTAGCCAACATTGCAATTTCGTTAGCCTATTAATCTCCATGACCATGCCGTACTCGTCTTTCTTCTTGCTTGTTTTCCTTATACCAATTCCAGCTTCTTTAACTTTTTCAATCTTGAGTTCTTGAGGCCATCCTACTTTTGTATATGCTTTAGGTGTAACCTTTTGCACACATCTACAAGCACAACTGGTGCATGATCTTTTTCTACCAATATCTATTGCATAAAACTGTCCCACAAAACTTTGCAAATGCTCAAAGCCTAGGCGATACTTATATTTCTCTCAAATCCTTGAAAGTGACGATTTCGCTTCATTCCAAATTTTCCTTCCCAAGTAAAACACAAGTGACAAAGAAATGACAAACATGTGAAATGACCAAGCTCATAGTAATCATGGCACTGGTCGAAATGAACATTAGAGTAGTATCAAATACTATAGTGATCATAGCCCTTCACTCAATTCTGAACATTGATGCGAAGAAATTTTGAAATGAGATGAACATGCCTTCAAATCCTGTCATAAAAGCGTTATACCCTTATTTTCTCCACCTTGCCTATTTTCCTTTTGTTTCAGCCCTAAGAGCTTATACATAATATGTACTACTAATTGAGCTTCTTCATTCTCTAGAACCAAATTTGTCCTTCCATTCACAATTGTACTCCCTTACAATTTATGCATGTTTCCTTCATGGGTTCCCTTCATTGCAATTGGAGCGTCCTTTGAATTTGTGAGCACTCCACCTTTCTTGGTAAGTTTATAAGCTTCCATATCTAGAGAAAAAAGTGAAAATCAAGTTCTTCCGTAATCCTACACGTGCTCATGATTTCCAGTTTTTGAACCATCCGATCATATATCCTTACAATTGAACTGTACCCATTCCGATCATTTTACCCATTAATTGTTTCTTGTGGATGCTAAACCAGCTTACATGACTTATATGCCTCTAACTATGATTTATGTGGGTGCATGTGATGTATGGATCCACTATTAAGAATCTAGTTTTGATAGTACATGAGATTGCTTCCACCATCAACACCTCATATTCGATATGACTGGATGTTGATTTTTCAACATGGTGAGCTTCATTCTTGACTTCAGCTTGCCTTTTCGTTCCCGAACTGGAACACTAAAAGGAAATTTCCCCTTTTTCTTTCTCAACATATTATCTCACAGATGAACTCCTTTGATACGTACCTCAAAGATGGACTCTTCTGATACCTACCTCTACCTCATTCATCTGTGCATAGGAGGAGATTTGTTCATATATGCTCCCTATTTACCCCTCTCTGGACCAGCTGGTATGGATTCACTCAGCCAATGGCAAGTTCTCTATGAGTGGCGCTTGGAACCATATTAGACAAAATGCGACCATACAACCAGCTTTTAGGGCTCTCTGCAAAACCCCATCCCTTCCTAAAGCAAAGTGGTTTACTTGGTTCGCCCTGCACTCCTGGCTGCCCACCACAGGCCTTCTCTCATCTAGGGGCCTCCCTTTGGTTTCTGGATGCCCCTTCTGCCTCCAAGAGGAAGAGTCCACTAACCATATCATTATGTAATTTGTGTTTTGCAAGTACTTTGGAGATCTATACTTTGGAGATTTGGCTAACGCATACCACTCGAGCAATTTATAATTATGATGATGGCGAAGTGGCTAAAGTTCTAGTTCACTTCCAATGGCATGAAGAACGTCTGGATTTCCACCTTCTCCACAATTGTCTAGCACTTGTGGGCCGAGCGTATTCATGTATTTATGAGGGGAGAAGGACTTTTAGGGAGCACCTTCTTAGGCGTACCATTCATTTTGTGATCCAGTTAGCAGAAGGGAAGGGTTGGGCTTTCCACCCCTCTGAGCTTCATATTTCCACAAACCTCAAGCCTAAGGGGCATATCGACCCCTCCACCCCACTCTCGATGGCATGGTCTCTCTCTCTCCCACAGGGCATTTTAAGCTCAACATCGATGGCTTGTCCTTTTGCAACTCAGGCACCGCGTGATGTGGGGGGATCATAAAAAATGACACAAGTGGCTTCGTAGTGGCCTTTGCTGTCCCTCTTGGCACTAGCTCTAATAATGCCGTTGAGTTCTCTGCCTTGGATCGAGGCATCTCCTTGGTGCATGAGATGGATTGCCACCCTCTTATCATCGAGAGTGACTCCAAGTTGCTAGTTGACTCACTCACCTACCACAACTCTCTCCCATGGAGGCTTCGCATCCTCTTGCTCAAGTGTAGGGCAAAGCTCTCCTCCTTCGTAGATCACCACTGGCAGATATTGCATGTATTCCGGGAGGCGAATCTGACTTCTGATTGCATGGCTAAGTAGGCGGCATTCATGGATGAAGCTACAATTTGGCGGGCCTATCCCCATGATTTTGTCACTCCCTTCATTTTGCGGGACAATGCCAATGTCCCCCTTGAAAGGCATGTCTAATTTCTTGTACATGTTCTCCTCTGTGATGTAACCTTTCTCTTGTGTTCATTAATAAAAACAAAATGGGTAGGGGGACTCGTCATCCCCACTGATTTACCCAAAAAAAATATTAACTCACATGGTTGGGATTGCCACAAAACCAACAACTATTTTTGTCACAAGATCCCCTCGACTTTAATTAGAAGTGAGCTCTGCCACTTGAATTTTTTGATGTACTGCTCCATTTATCTGAATGCCCTCTTACTACAGGAACATACATCTTTGAATCCACCAAACTATTCATTGATACATTCTTTTGAAGTTCATGGGCAATGAGAGAACTTCAAATCCAATCCAATTTGAGGGATTCCTCCTCATTAGAACTCAAGGTAGTAACAAGACCATCATAATACACCACTACAAAGCAACACCATCTCCTTATTCTCCTCCATCTTCACCCTAATACTCTCGAGATTGGCAAATGATGTTGTTGAATCTTATTTAAGTGTTTTGGTGCTTTCACACCATTTCTCACCCTCAAAGAATACAAGTGTTTTTAAGAAATTTCGATTTTTGAGAAATTTAGTCATTGTAAGAGTTTTAGCTTCATCCATAGACATTTTCTCTTGCAATTTTAAATAGTATTTCATCCTCGAAACACATGACATTAGTGGCGAGCACATTCTTATCCAATTCATCTTAATCATCCTTCATGGTTTTTGGTTTCTTGGATTTTCCTTTTAGTGCTTTCTATGGACCTTGCCATGAATTTTTATTTTCCAAAGTTCATTGTTTATCTGTCCTCTCGTCTACTGGTTCTTGAAGCTACACAAGATCATCATGAATGCTTTGAAGTGAAGCTTGAAGTGAGGGTATGTGCACAACAAGATCCCCTGTGGTTTATTTTCTCACCAAAGTGACTTCAAAGGGTGAATCAATTGTTTGAGTGGTGGCTAAATTGGCCACCATAGCTGAAATACCTGGCAAATTTTCCTGGATAATCTAACCTACTTACAATCAGTTAATCATCAGAAATCCAGTATAATGAGTCTAAAACTATGGAACCTATGGCAAAATTATGCTCATTGTCTGCAGCTAAGTCAGATTTCATTTTATTCATTATTTGTGATGGAACTTTATTGACTCATGTCTTTTGTGGTACTATAGAAGGTTGTTGCAAGGTGTTTTTTTGTTCACTTTTTGTCTGCTCTTCCTGTGATATTTATGGTTTTCCAGGCATATAACTACCGGATTTCATTTTGGGGAACTTTTCATTGTCTACCCTTACGTTGCTTAATATCTGTTGATATGCAGGTGCCTAAACTGGTCTTTTGCCCATTAAAGGTTTAAGGCTTATTTATGTTTAATACTGAAGTGTTCTGGCTCGCATGAGCATCACATCAGAAATAACTGCTGTGCTTGTGAAATTAGCCTGCCATCTTCAAAACAGTGACAAGAAAAGGTCTGCCGATACTAGTAGCTCTCCTGATGGAGTAGTTTTAACAAGCAATGAAGCATGCAATCAAGGAATTTCTTTGCTGAACAAGTCAATAAATACTCGTGAAAGACCTGGGTTTTTAGATGTTGCACTCGCTTTACTCTGCTATGAAGCGCGTGATGTATGTAATTCATCATTTTTCATTTATATTATATTCATTTATGTGAGTGTTCTTATTCATTGTTCCTGCCACAGGTATGCAATTCAACGATTAGAATTTTGGTGGACACCCTTATCTCTGCTCTATTATCATCAATATCTTGCAAGGTCTTGCTACAGGACCCATGCAGAAGCTTGGGTGGAAATGACAGTGTGAGACAAGAGACTCATTCGATATTGCAAACGTATGGGATAATCAATCAAGTAGTTGATTCCAATTCTGAACAACCATTCATTCATAATGAGAAGTTCCTGCTTGTTGGTTCATTGATATCATTTGATGATTGTCCAAAATTGGTGGAAGCATGTCTGGATGTTCTCAAAAAGTTAGAAGAACATGGTAGATCTCAAATTTTACAAACTTTTTGTTGGAGATGGAAATTTAAGCATTTAAGTTTTCCATTTTAGTTTATCTGTACTGGTACACGTGCTGGCACAAATGATAAGATGTACAATAAGAGTTTCACCTTTTCGTAGTTTTCCATTTCATTGTAATTCAAATTTAATGTTGTCTTAAACTTCCCCATAATATCTTGTACCATTAACTAGAGAAAAAGATGTAGACCTATTGCTGATGGGGATCTCTTATTCGGTGTGGTCATTCTTTTTGTTCTTAGAGTTTTTTCTATGGTATGCTCATATGAGTTGCTGCACATTTATTAGTAATACTGAAAGGCGTTGTATGTCACTTTTCCCGTCAGCTTCTTAGATTTTTCTTGTTAGAGGTGTATTGAAAAGTCCCACTAGAGCAACCACACCGTACTCCAATCTCCAATCTTAAAAACTACTTAAAATATGAATATAATTATTTCCTGCTATTGTCTATTGTGATTTCAATAAAGAAGGGTGTTAGTTTAAGAGTTGTTATAATTTTAGTATTCATTCATTTATTTGGTGTCTTACATGCTGAGGATAGATAGATAATTTCCTACTGGGATTTGTGTTTTCCTGTGGACTTTTTGTCATCATATATATGCAGTGTGAGTGCGTGTGCGCGTATGTGCATATATGTGTGTTTGTTCATCTGATTCTTCTCTGAGAGTTCTCTTTCATGAGAATTTCATACTTCCATGAAAGGTTTACATATTTAGAGTTAGCTTCCTTATAATCCCTTTGTTAGGTCTTTCTAAAACCTTTTTTATGTGCATTTTCTAGACACTGATGCCCTTAAGATGTGGACGCTATGGTTCAAATTTAGCTCCCATAAGAGGTTTAAGAAATATTTGTTTTTGAAAATGATTCTAACTTTTGTGATACTTATGTGGGTAAGTTCCCTCTTCATGTGCAATCATAGGACATAGTTTCTAGCATTTTGCAATAACCTTTACCTTTGCCTATCTTTGGGATCATCAAAGAGTTATTGTTTATTTTTGTTTTTATGTTTTTATGAATCTAATTGGGATAAAGCTTGGATGATAGTGATGATGATGCTCTTTATGAATCTAAAAAATTCGGGACATTACTCCCCATGAGACGAAATTTTTTCCGAGCAACTTTGGTTCTCTTTGAGAAGTTGTTCTGCTAACTTCTGATCTTGTTGAGTTCATTGTGTGCATGATCTGATAAATCTTCGGTCATGAATCTACTGGGACCTTTATGGAAATTTTTATAGAAGTGGTTTTGCAACCTGAACCTCTCCCAGGTTCTTGTGAGACTGTATAGAATGGTACGTTGTCTCCCATCTTAGCTCCTAGACTTGATTTATAGATGAATCTTTAAAGATATGCAGGTTAGAAACTTTGAATGGGGCTCTTCAACAGATCGTGGTTGACTTCATATGGTATAAAATAATTATACCCTTTGGTCTTTTAATATAAAAGATTTTGATCGAGAAACAGATCTTTTGGTATTCTGTATTTCTTTTCTTGAACCTATAGTTGAAAATATCTTTCTCTTAGGCATTTAAACCATTCGCAAGTTGCAATATAGATTTATGAGTTATACTGAAAGGATTTGTATTGATAAGTTTGATACAGTAACAGATTCAAAAAAATAAAATAGAAAATAATACAGTTTTGTGTTTGCTCAGTGCTCTACTTAAGAAATTTGCGATAAACCAAATTGAGCTTCATACCATCATATTAGATCGTCATTAGAAGCAGTACCTCTCATTATCTTATGATCAGGTCACAAGGATAGAGTACTGTTCCGGATTTTTTTGTGAACTTGATCTGCAGTGAATAATGAATGTGCGATTTGGCCCTTTTCAGCATTATTTCAGATGGATGTTTGAAGAGCATGAACAGGGGAGTGCAAGTATATTTCCAAATGACACTAAGTTTCAGGCGCGTTGTTAGGATCATCCTTTCATTATGTTTAGGTATCTTCAATTGATGAGGCCCTTTTGGACTGGCTTGCCAATTTATTACTCTTAATGGGTTTATCTTTGCAGTAACCTGTCAAAAAAATTTCCATTTATATTGGCATGCAGCAAAGGAATTGACTTGATTTGAAAGGTGAAACTTCCATCAAATGACGGTGTCTTAGTGCAAAGAGTTTTAATATATTAGAGCGTCTTGCAGTGAAAAGTATTGGAGAAATCCATCCTCCAACACCTGTATTGCAACTATTTTTGACAGCTCAAGGTGCTTTGATTAGCACACGCCTAACTATCGCAAGTTCATAGGTGGGGACCTCAAGTAGAAGCTGTTCTTCTTGGGTATTCTTTTATTCGGGAGTCACCTGTCATATGACTTCTAATCTTGCCCTATCTTTGAATCCCAAGCACTTGAACAATGAAATATTGGTTCGAAGCGCATATGAATTATGATTACTTGTATAAATAGTTGGTCCTTAGCATTTCGTGCTTTGGAAAATTTTTACTTGAAAATTTTTTCGTTTTCTTGTTGAACATGTGATTACTACAGGTCTATTTGTTTAAACTAAGTGTATTTTTTTCTTTGATGACAAGGACATTTTGTAGAAGATGTTGAGGTAGGCAAGCTGATCGAGATAGCATTTTGTTTTGGACGGCTCTTCTACTCAACTTTCCTGGTGGCTCCTACATAGTGCTCTATAGCACCTTCCTCTTAAAGATGAATTGACATAGTTTATCTTGCAGTTTCTAGTGAAAGGTGTGGCTATGTAGAATTTCAAGGTATAAAGTTAAAGGTTTTCCCTTTTCTTTATTATTATTTGGAATTTCTACTTATAATTGCCATAATACACTGCAGAAATAAATATACTGCAGTCTAAGATCTTTAAAACTTATTACCAAAAATAAAACTTTAATACTTTATTCAAGAACCGAATTCAAACATACAATTAGGAATTCTGAAATAAATATGAATCAAGCATAGTAAATAAAATTAATAAACAAAATTGGGAAGATTTATTGAATGTTATCCCCTTAGGACATAGCACCCCCACACCTGCCTACCAAATCAATGGTGCCCTTGATCCTTAGGTTTGCTGAATCCACTGAACCGGGAAGGACTTATGGAATACCCTATTGTGAAACTTTGGGGCTGAGACCATGGGCTATAACTAGGGTTTCTTAAGACCCTTTTAAACTTTGGGGCATGCCGCCTCCCCTAGCCAACATTCGGTGGGGCATGCCCCCCCTCTGTCCTGGGTGTTGCGAGCCCTAAATCTCTAGGGGTGGTGTACCACCTAGAGAGGAGAGAGAGAGAGAGAGAGAGCTAGAGAAAAAATAGAGAGATGGCATCGAACAGAGAGAGAAGGAGAGAGAGGTTTGAGAAAATTGTGTTGAGAATAAGGGGGGATCCCCTCCTTTTATAAGCCTCAAGGGCCCTAGGGTATTGCAATTAGAAAGGATTCAATTTGATCTTAGGATTCCCATGTAATCTGTGAGGTGAGAGAGAAACAAATTAGAGCCACCCATCCTGAAATCAACCATCATGACTTAGGGAGAATCTATGAACCTTATCCCTCGAATCTTTGACCCGTATCCACTTCTAGTCCACCTAAATTATGACTAGTCAAAAGTTATCTCCTAATTTAGTTGGAATTCCTTTTCTCTCACAAAAGGATTGTAGAAATTCAATGTCAAAAGAGTCTTGGTTAGAAACTAAAGATTGAAAAGTTATCTTCTAAAGACAAACTATTCTCAAACATTTTCCAACTAGCCACAATATTTTCCAAATCTCTTGACCCCCCACAAAGTCTCCCAAAAAAACTAGGAAACATGTGGAGCGTGTGACCCGTGTGGGCCCCACGCCTCATACCATGTGGTCCACATGTGTGGTGGTTGGGTCCTTAGCCCTCCAATGTGGGTCCCATGATACCGTACGAGATGAACAAATTATAAAAATGCCCTTTTGGGTTTCAATTATTTTGACACAATTTTTAAAAAAATTCTAACAAAAAATTCAAAAATATCAGGAACATAAATAAAATTGAGAACAATATTTTTGAAGTTCTTAGAAATTCTAAAACACTTAGAAATACTTCTAGAAGTGGATTGGTACCGATGGGTCAAGAAAAGTGACTATCATGGCACTCAACCGGTGCCAAGATCCACGATCCATAACTATCTTCGCAGACCAACCCAACAGGACCCATGACCCACAGTCATGTGCAGGGGCTCATGATTGGCTTGTCAAAGCTAGTCAATAAATAGTGGAATCACGGTCCTAGTAATGTGGATTATAGGTTCCCCCTTTAAGAGCAAGTCACATGCACATCACTATAGTGTTAGCGGGACTCTCTCTATGCACATATACACATATCATTCTATAAGGTTGCTTCCCAGAGTGTTGCTTCCTAGAGTGTGGTTGTCACATGTACATGCTGTGCATAAGTTTGTTGAGGATTTGATCCTCGAACTCACAAGCTACATCCACACCATGAAGCTCTCCTGATCTGCTAATGGTGTCATTGGGCATCTCTCCGTCCTCAACAAGGGTTGACCATCCATAAAACCCTCAATGGTAGTGCCTATGCCCAAGGGAAAAGGTTTTGCATGACTCAGGCCATAGACTACCTGATCCTAGGTCAGTCCACATTTTGTCCCAATCCACTATTATTTATTTTATTTACATGCTTTCACGGCCTTTATAGGCCATAGGGCCCAACATCTAGCTTTATAGCTTGCACTTTTTGTTGGTAGACTTTCATTTTCTTTTGTTTATTTAATATATAATGTGTACGATGGATGGTGTATCTGCGTGTGTTTTTGGATCATTATTCAAAGATCAAACACACTCAAGGAACATGAGAATGAGAGACATAAATAATCTCAAAGGATGAGATAAGCAATGATAAGTGGCTGTTAAGCATATGGGAGTTTTACTGCCAGACTCCTTGTAGATGTTATTAATATGGCCAAAATTCATTGAAGGTCCTAATGAATTACCATTGAACTCAAGACAGTAGTCT